ACAAACACAGAGACTCCCGAAAACCTCCTATCGGAAAAAATAATAGAAGTGGACCCCATATAACTGGACGAATTGAACAATATACTTAAAACGTTCAAAAATAAGAAATCGCCAAGAACTGATTGCATGAATGCCGAACTACTAAAGTACGCACCGAACGAAATAAGAAGGTGATTCCTCGAAATAATAAATATGTGTTGGATGAGATATAGCATTCCCGAAGATTGGAAGAAAGGAATTATATGCCCGATCTTCAAAAAAGGTAATAGGCAAGATTACCAAAATTACAAAGGAATAAGTCTTCTCAAGACAGCCTATAAGATATATGCTAAGATAATAACTCTGCGATTAAATATTATTAATGAGCATATGATACTGGAAGAACAGTGCGGTTTCAGGAAATGCCGCTCATGTTCTGACTGCATATTCGTAGTGGAACAACTAATACAGAAAAGACAAGAATTTAACTTACCGACATATATACTATTTATAGAATATGAAAAAGCTTTCGACAAAGTGTCCCGAAAGAAACTCTGGGAGAAATATTGCATTAAAAAAGATTCGCAGCCCATCCTAATAGGAGTAATACAAAGTCGTCTACAAGATCTGAAATATTCTTTGACACTTTCGACACTATTAAATATGCATTGATAAGGATCTCAAAGAAGTAATAAATTTTGATGGAGTAAATCAAAGGAGTCAAACAAGGGTGTCCACTTTCGCCACAGCACTATTCTGTGTGTGTTGTGTGGTGTGTGTGTTGTGTGTGTGTGTGTATGTGTAAATACTATACTAATAGGGCACATACACTAGGCATCTATGGAGATTTGTCATGTGGTCAATGGTCAAGGCAGTGAAACACATTTTAAAAGATTATATATGAGCAATATATGCTCTAATACACTTATTATTGCTCCTTTTCAGACGACCAAGTAATTTTTAGCAGCTCAGAAGACGAACAAATTGCAGCACACAAACTACACGAACAGGCATCCGAATATAATATGAAAATCTCCACAAGGGAAAAATCAATGAGCTTTGAAGGAACAAACCTCATTAGATGTAAAATTATAATTAATAATGAACCGATAGAACAGACAAATAATTTCACGTACCTAGGCTTCAATGTGTCTTACTGTCAGAAAAATGACATAAGCCGGAAATTAAATAGATTCTATATGTGTGGGACAATGAGAAGAACATTAAAAAATAAGACTTTAAAAACCACACAACTCAAGTTTTACAAAGTAATGGCAGTATCTACGCTAATTTATGCATGCGAAAACTGGACTATTAATAGAGCTGACAGAAGGAAAATAGAAAGCGCTGAAATGAAATTCCTACGTTCAGTAGCAGGTTACAATATTTTAGATAGACAATATAAAGATGACATCAGAACCTAACTGAATATATTTAATCTGATGGACAGAATCCAATCATTAAGGAGAAACTGGCATGACCATATTCAACGCATGCCTCCAAACAGAATCTCCATAATAATTTATCAGTACAATCCTAAAGGAAGAAGAAATATTGACCGCCCACTAACAAGATGGAAAAATTCACTCTCTTGATGTGGAAACAGGCCTTAAGGCCTAACTCCATGAAGCAGAAGAAGAAGGTAATCAATAAATACTGAGAAACGTGGCTGATAGTTCTTTTTTGCCAGGATTTTCACATGTACGAGCTCATACATTGGGTTGTTGCGAAAATGCTGAGCTTGTCTTGAAACTGCATTATAGAGAATAACATGCCTTAAATCCCTTTTAGCTTTACTTAATGACCCCTTACCCCGTTATTACAATTAATAGTATCTGCCGACTCAGTAGCACTTTAAATATCGAATTACATTACATTGTATTTATAGCATCATATACATTTTCATTCACCATTTCGTAATCACACGATAAAAAGAAGTACTTCTCCCCCATATATCACTTACAGTTTTTCTTGTTCTTTGAGTAAATAAATACAATTAAATCAAAAGAACTTTTCATGCATTTTTTGTTTGGTAAAATAAGCAGATGCCGCTGGCACCTCTCTGTCTAGAGAGGACGGTGCCGTGCCTCAACTTAGAGAACAGAAATGACAGAGATTCGAGAACCGGAAACGTACGAATCTATTCTGAATGGTTCTCGGAGACGGTAAAGTCAAAGAATCTGTAAGTACACTAGTTACAAGTTCTTTGGGTTAAATAGATTGGAAACCACGATTGTGACAGTGTGGTTACACTGTGGTCACCTCACCTGCATCCAGAACAGAACACAGCACTGACCAAGACAGGCTGGGTCAGGGTGCTTGAAGGGTGGGGTGACGTGTGATTTAATCTAAGTGTACGTCACCTTTTTGACATTTTGTGGGAATTGTGACGCTATTAGAGGTAATACTTGTTTACATTTAGTGAACTCTGCAATGAAGTGAGAAACAGTGTACTATAATTCAATATCCTCATTGTCTTTTCGAAGAGCTGAATTTTATTAGTGTTATTTGGTGTTTAAAACTGTGCTTCGTTTTCAGAACATGCTTCGGTGACGGTAGTTAATATAATAGAGTATCAAATTTGAGCACGGAACGTACGGACGTTAAAACATTCCAATCAATTACGATTCATAATGGACTCGTCAGACAATTCACCGGAAGGAAAGGTATTTTTTTATCTTCATTATTTTACGTTTTAAATTTCCCTCTGATGATAAATGATTGTTTCCTATTTGTAGATTTTGATTAAATTGTGCCATGTCTTGAAAAATAGTTTATTATAGCTTATTCAATTCAATACACATTACAATGAGTGGTGTCATGTTTCAAAAACCTGTATTTTGTTTCAGTAAATCACACTTTTCCAATATTTTGCCTAATAATATTATCAATTATTTTAGGATGGTGGTGATACCTTGCAGCGGAAAAATACTTTGGACACCTTGTCCAAAGATGACCTTGTTAAAAAATGCAAGAATTTGTTGACCATTGCACAGAAAGCAAAGCAAGCTAAAGATGGTATATTGTATATATTTCTACTGGGAATGATATCATACTTGATTTGAATACAATTAGCAAAATTCTTGCTTGTTTTTTCTAAAATTGCTGTTGTAGTTTCTAATGCTGCATTTGATTTTCATGGTTACAAAAATAGTTTAGCTTTAAAATGTTTCTAATAGTATTTGCTTTTTGTCTTAAACAAATTAAATGATATATTTCTGTTATATTTGTTAAGCTAACTACTAGACAATGATTTAATTTAGTAATGCAAAAAATCAATTATCTATTTGTGAGTGATTTCTTTGTTATTGTTAAATTTAGAAGCAACTGATGAAGTTAAGCGATTGAAGGAACATGTGAATTCTTTGCAAGGGAAGTATGAAAAAGCTAAAGAAAAAGACAGAACCAAGGTATTTATTACAGTTTTCTTGTCAGTTATTGTAAATTTCCTTCCAAGATTATTTACTATTTTATGTTTTTGCCAATGAAGGAATCTCCATGCCAAGCTGAAATCAATGCCATGCAAGAGATGGTTGCCACTCTAACTGAACAGAAGCTCCGATTGACAATGGAGGTAATTTTTCCTAAATAAATAATCGTATCCAATCTTTATTTTCTTTGAGGGGTCTCTTTCCCCTTCCAATAACACATAAATTTGACAGTTTGTATTTATAAGTTTCATCCACTTTAAAAAATGAGAAAATTCTCAAAGATCATTTAAAAAAATTGGCATATCAGCTCTTTTCAAAGTAGGTAGCAACATTATTAAAAAGATTTTGGTGTATGTCAAAATAATTGTCACAAACACTCATTAATGTTTTATTTCAACAGTGTCCTCATTAGCATTCAATCCGTTCAAATTGAAGGCAAATATATCATCTTACAACTTCCCTATTATTTTATCTATTGTATTTATTAAAAATGGTTAAAATGTGTTTATTATCTTAGTATTTAAGACTCCTATTTCAAATATTTTAAATAATTAATATTTTGAATTTAATGCATGAAATGGGTGGAATTGCATATCAATATCTGTTAGGTTGTGAATTATTAGTCTGTAAGATAAGCTTTGAAGCTACAATTTCTTTTGATGCCCTCTGTTATTCATATTATTGAAGATTCCTCTCCAGTATTTTCATGTGCCATTTTTATTGTTGCGTGTCATCTAATGTGGTCCTCAGGGCCATATGAAAGAAGAGTTTTGTTGTACATGATACACCCTTAGAGAAGCAGGGTGGGCAGGAAGGGGAAGGAAAGGAGGGGGGAGAACTAGTCTCCTTAAGCCCTCCCTCAAGTTATGCTAAATGCTCTGATAGAAATAAATAAAACTTACTGATAAGAAATTTTAATGGCTGGTAAAGTGTGGAGACACCCTCAAGGAACGACAAAAATCTCTCAGTTGACCCCTTGCATACTTGAACACTTATGCACATGAGGAGTGGCCCCTTTCTTGCTGCACATCCACTTGAAACAGTCACTCAACTTCTTGTGCTTGGCCAACCTCATCAGACACACAGAGGACATGTAAATCCTGCAGCAATCAAGTGACATTCTCGCGCCCATTCAATTACAACCAAACACCCCCTTCAACAACACGTAAAAAAAAAACATTTATTCTCTCCATTGTAGCACAGATACTTGACACTCATAAACACAAATCACAAAGACTCTTAAGAATGCTAGAAAAGTAACTGTATGGCAGCAGCAGAGCTAACCACTTTGACAACTATTTCAATACAGAAAATCACATAGGCAAACACCACCGTGATTTAGACTCCACCTCACTATTTTGTAATGAAGCTTGATAAGATACTAGGGTGACATTGCCCCTCCCCCTAACTTTTGATATCAGGTTCGTGACCAATTACAAACCATTAAAATTATTTCAGAATTGAATTTTTTACAATTAATTTAAATTACCCACTCCAAAGGCATGGGCAGTTTCACCGGTGAAACTGCCCCCCCCCCCNNNTAAGTATGTACCAAGTTATGTGTTTTTCTCACCACTGCTACCCATCGAAAAGGTTCCCCTCATAATCCTCTAAACAACCCATAGCTTGGCATTGTGGATTTCCCCCTTGCTGCAGCAGAGTGGAAGTGCCCGTTTAAACAACTTCCTTAAGTTGCACCATGTACTAGACTTCAGTCAAGAGTTTATTAAGCCAAAGCTAGAAGATTTAATTGTAATGAAAAAAGTGATTATTTAGAAATGAAAATATGTTTCTAAACCTTTTTGATTTGTTAAATGTTGTAGTACAATATGTACATATAGATCATCAGTTTTATTTACCAGAATCAGAGTGCACATGTGATTCCTAAGTTTTGGATTAATTATTACTTTTTTGATAAAAAAAATGAATAAACTTAAATTATCAACCTTACATATGAAACTTAACATTAAATTGCATATTTTGATGTTTACTTTAGCAGTAGGTCAAATTGGGTGTGATTCTTGTTTGTATACAATTGTTATTGGATTGTTATTGGCTAAATGAAAACTCAACAATATCTTTATTTTGTTCACAATATTAAAGATGTTTCTTAATGGGTAATAATGCTAAGAAAGATCCTCTATATTCCCTGTGGATTTTTTTTATTGTGGGTTGTTCATTCTTTTTACTACACAAATGAAATAAAATAAAATATTTTATAGTGCAATGAAGATACTTCATCTTATGAATACATTGCTATTATCTAATTTAAATCTGTCAGCACAACAGTGCAATTGCTCATTTATTCATGCTTATTTGTATTCCACAGGTAAATCACTGATTTAGTTAGTAAGGAGTCTTGGGGAAATAACTATTGTATTACCAATACCTCTATCTCAACAAACCATTTTAGTGTTGTAAAGAATTGCACCTACAAACTTCATGAATATCAATTGGTTTAGGGAGTGGATTTTTGAAGTATAGAAGTTTTATTGTTTTTTAATTTTTTTAACTTTCTTATGTATCATGTTTTTGTCAATTATACATTTTTGAATTAAGCTAAATATTTTCCTGAGTTATTGATAATGCACCACTAAACTCCACGATTATTCTTCAATTTTTGTAAAGTAGCTAATGACATTAGGTCATTGTTACACCTCCTGCCATATAAAATGAATATTTTTAATTTATTCACGAACATTCTTCTCAACAAGGCTCATGGCCTCAGAAATGTGTTTTGTCTTGTTCCTTAGGTCGCGTATGACCCATAAGGATATTCCCAGCAGTTAGGGTTGCCACCCATCATATGTTGGTTCTTTGAATTTTCACTGTGGATGCGGCTACCAATTTCTCTCCAGAAATGTGTTTTCCGCTGTAAAGAGATTAATTTTACAGGGTAGAAGGTATAACAATAAACTAATGTCATCGGACACTTTCAAAAACTCAAAGTATTAATGGTTTACTGTAAAATTAAGAAGAACCACAAAATTTTAAACACAAGTTCCTTCAATTTCCTGTATTGGCTGCCTTTCCAATAATTGTGTTCATTCAACATAGTGGCGGTATAAAAATAGTGGTATGCGCTGTTGAATAATTATTAACTAGTGAAAATAAATTTAGAAACATAATAAGAGCTTACTATTTTAGCATAAGTTAGCTTAGGTAAATTCAGTAGTTCAGTGTAATAGAAATTTATGTTGGTTGAAATGCAGTTTCATTATTCAACTATTCTCTAAAAAATAGTTTTACATGTATTTTTTTTAACTATTTTTAAAAATTTTCTCAAGTTTTGATTAAAATTGATTTAACATATTCACTTCAAGGTTTTGTAATAATGCCTCTGACGATTGTGGAAGTATGTCTCGAACATTAAGTATAGCTGAATTTTCTTATTCTTTTGAAGACTTCAACAAAGTTTTGGAAACTGGTTACAAAAAAAAATCACTTTAATGTTTTTAATATATTTGTTGGACACTTGGGATACAACCAAATTTCAGTAATTTGGTTATTGTTTCTGGATGTTTATTATTTTGTTTGTTTTCTTCTTTCCGTCATTCTTACTGAAAATAAATTCTATGTAGATGGATGCCATGCTGAAACACGCTGATACAATTGAAAAGCAACTGGAGACAGCAAAGACTGAGGAGCGCAAGATGCGGCAGGCTCTTGTGTCTGCCTCAGCTCGTGCTGATGAACAAGAAGTGGCAGCAGAGAGTGGGCGCAGGCAGATAGCGAGGCTGCTGCAAGAGAATGACGATCTGCTTCAGCGCTTAGACAAGACTGAAGTCCAACTTCGTAAATTATCTTCAGGTAATTTATGTGAATCAGGCAGTGAATGTGTGAGTGGACTTGATTCATATTTAAAATCCTAAATATCCTTGTCTAGATCTAAAATTTTCTACCTAAACCTTGTATTAATAATTTCAGCTATTGACAGTTATAAATAAAATTGTTCATAGAGAAAATTAAATTCATGTTCAGAATTTGGTAAAATTTAGGAAATAGTTTTAGAAGTCCATTTCTTTTAAGACATTTGTGTTTCTTCTCAAACGTGATTGTAGTCCACTTGCTGTGTTTGTTTGCAGCCAAGGAAGAGGACGTGAAGAGCCTGAAGGGCAAAGTGTCTTCCTTGGAAGGGGAGCTGCTGGTGCTGCAGGAGGAGCTGGATGGAGTGTCAGAAGAGAGCCGTCACAAAACCACTGAAATGCAGAAGGTCAATGAACAGCTAAGCTTGGATAGGCGGTCGTTGGAAGATGAGCGAGACTTACTCAGAAACCAGCTGCGTGAGGCACACGAGTCTCTTGATTCAGCTGCACATGAGAACGACGAATTGGAGAAGAGATTGCGTGCCGTGACTGAAGCTGCTGAGCGTGACAAACAAACACTTACTGAACGTTTGGCGCAGCTGGCAGTTGACATGAAGCGACTGGAGGAGTGCTCTAGCAATGCAGAGAACTTAAAGGATTTAATGAAAATTTTGCATGCAGAGAAAGATCAATATTTTCAGGAAAAAGAGAAATTGAAACATCAGAATGAAGTGTTAAATGAGCAGGTGAAAATTATGACACAGGAAAATGAAACAATTTTGAAGGAAATAGAGACTCTCAAGGTTAACAATGTGGAGTTACAGCAACTTGTGCAGAATATGGAAGCTTCCAATGATAGCTTGTTGAAAGATGTTTCAAGAATGGAGGCTGAAAAGCAAAAGCTTAGTGAAGTTCTTGGACCCATCTGTAAAGAGAGAGATAATCTTGCTATTGAAAATAAAAAGTACATAGCAGACAGACAGAAAATTATTGATCGTCTAGAATCTGTGAATAGAAAAAAGGACATCATTATTCAAGAACACAATATCTTGAAATCAGAGAACAGGAAACTTACAGAATGTCTGGAATTTGTGAGCAAAGAAAAACATATCTTGGCAGAAGAGAATGTGAAATTAAAAGCAGACAAACAAAAATTAAATGAATATCTTGAAGCCATGGTAATTGAAAAGAATCAACTGTATGAAGAGAAAGAGAAGTTAAGTGCTGTAATTGAAACCATTAACACAGAAAAAAATGTCATTTTTAATGAAAATGTAGAACTAAAAGATGAGAAGGAGAAGTTGAATCAGGACTTGAGAGCAGCCAGTATAGAGGCAGACGCTTTGCGAGCAGAAGTAAGAGATGCGGAACGCAGAGTTCGGAGTGCTGTTCGACGAACTTTAACTGTTCTTCAACAGTTTCTAGGATCATCTCCCCCAGAAATTTCAGGAGAACCACTAATTGAAAACTTTCCTGCTGTAATGGCTGCTTTAGAAGAAAATTTGGACAAAATATCATCCTTGTCATCCAGGACATCTAACGGTGTATCTACCAGTGCGGCTGAATCATTAAACAATGTTCAAGTCAAAGATCTACATACTCCTGAGTCAGTGTCAGAATTGCCACCTCCTCCTGCTGAACTGACTAGCAGTGGTGATTCAGTGACTGCTGAGACAGTGCAAACTCTTCGTACTGAAGTGGAACATCTTCAAGCCATGATTGCCAACCTTGATAAACGTTGTGAAAAACTCACTGCTGAAAACGAAAGCCTGAGAAGAAGTGTAAGAGCCAAAGAAGAAGACTTTGCTGCAAAGTTTCCAGATCCTCGGAAAAATAGTGCTCTTGAAGATGAACTAGATTGCGCGAGAAAGCAGCTGGTAGAGAAAACTCGGGAGACGCAGCTGCTGAGGGACGAAATGAGTCGAGTCCTGCAGCATCAGGGCTCAAGATTGAGCATCGCACCTCAGAGTGAGGACATGGCATTGTTGCGCTCAGAATTGGCAGCTCGTTCTGCAGAATTGGAGGCTTTGAAATCAGAATTCGCACGTGCTAAAGATATGCTCAAAGAAGTAACAAAAGTTGAAGATAAGGAGAAAAAGATCCAGTCATTGCTCCAAGAAATAGCTGTGTCTAAGGAGAAGCAGGCTACTTATGAGTCACTTCTTCAAAAATTTAAACAGGAGATAGCTACCTTACAAGGGAAAGCAAATAAATTCCAAAGTGCTTTGACAAAAAAAAATGCAGAAATAGATGCCTTGAAAGGAGAGTTAAAAGTGTTGAAGGATAATGAAGCAAGTTTCCAAAGTGGGATGGAGATCTTCCATGAGGAAGAGATGAAGTTGAAAGAGGAAGTAATGTCTCTCCAGGATGACCTTGCAGAGCGAAGCACTTCTCTTCAGAGCATGTCATCAGAAATGGACCATTTGAAAGATCAATGCAAGGGATTCAATGAAGAGAGACTGACACTACAGGAAGAGACTCATAAGTTGCAAATTAAAGTAACACAATTGACTGAAGAAATAAACGCAAAGACAACTGCTCTTGCTGAAAAATGTAAAGAGTGCGATGCTTTGAAACAAGAGAACAGTTTGTCTAAGGAAGCAGTGAATGAGAAAATAAAATTATTGGAAAATCAAGAGAAGAAGCTGGATGACCTTGAGAAAAATAGCTCTGCTGTAAAGCATGAGCTGATTGAGAAAACTCGTATTTTAGAAGAGAAAACTCAAGAATTGGTAGCATTGAAACAAAAACATAAAGAATTGGAAGAGAAATTGGAAAGTGGTGGAAGGAGCCAAGAAAACATTTTTAAGTTGCAGGACAAGGTTGTCAAGTTAGAAAAGAAATTGGAGGACAAGATTACAGAAAATGAAAAACTTAGAAAAGAAGCTGAATGTCTCTTGACAGAAAATGAGAAGATATTGAAAGAATTTTCTGTGCAAGAAGAAGAAGTGGTGAATTTGAAGAAACAGTTGACCATAAAAGAAGCAGAAGCTGCTGCTTTTATTGCTGAATTAAAGAAGATGGAAGATGAAAATGAAGAAACTTCAAGTAGTTTGAAGAAAGTGATTGAAAGTCAATCTGCAGAATTGAAAAATTTAAAGGAAGAGTTAAAACATGCTGAGATAAGTCAGAAGGGTTTGGGAGATCAAATCAGTGATTTCGAAGTGAAAGTTAAAGAAGTGAGTGAACTTAAGAATAAGATAGATAAATTTCAGGTAGACAATGTGCGACTTACTGAAGATTTGAAACAGCAACAAAACACCATAGCTGAACTGATGCGCACAGTTGAAACAAAAACATCAGAAATCAGCCAGTTGAAAGAGGAAGTGCGAGTAGCTGAGGAGCAGTTCAATGATAAACAAAGGGCTCTCGAGAGCCTCACTGACGAACTTGCCAATGTACAGAACTCATCTGCAGAAGCTCTTGGTCGACTGGCAACAGCTACAAAGGAGCTTGGGGAGGCGCGTGAAAGGCTCGCTGCTTCCGAAGGTGCCACAAGGGATATGGAGCTGCTACAGAAGCGTTTGCAAGTAAGTATTTTATATGTGTAGCCAACCTGAGTAGCGGAGGTCACTAAGGTGGTCACACCTTACCAGTGCGCTCTCAGTCATGAGTTCAAATCCCATCTTGAGCATGAATTTTTGCATTATTGTTGTGGTGTGTGAGGTTTATCCCATAACCTTGATGTACCTTTAATAACCCATTTCCTTCCCAGATCTTTCCCTACCTGGACCAAAAGAATGGGCATGAGATATGAGTGTGATTACTAGAGACTGGAAAAATATGTAGAATGAAATGTCAAAATATGTAATAAAAACAGTAAGAATATGCAATAAATGTGTAAAGTCGGCTATAATATGTAATAATAAAATACACTAATTATAAGAGACATTTACATAATGTGAAATTACAATTATGAAAAGTTTCCTAAACAAATTTTAAAAAATAATACAAACGTTTTAAAAATCATTTGGAGACCAAAAGTTGATGCCCACTTTGCACCCTATAACTTTCCTGTCAGTGGTAAAAACTTTGTACATTGGTATCTAGGACCGTAGTTAGCAGCCAGACTGGAGGTAATTGAAGCCATCGTACAAACTAGCGATATCAATGACCAGCAAACAACCACTGCAGTCTGCAGCATTCTTATTGAAGTGTTAAACTTTGGCGACCACCAATGTTTTTCGCAAATTAAGATTAAAGGTTACAAAACACAGCATTAGTTTCACCTAAAAGTGAAAATAACCTCAGTCATTCACACACCTCCTACCTCTGGGGTAACTGAAGCAGATCCGCTGGACTGTGAGAACATCTAACTATGTCTTCGTACCTGGAGTAAACAGAATGCAGTAGTAGCAAAAGAAACTCGATGATTTTTTAAAATAGTTCATTTGATAAAAAAAAATTGAAGAAAATTCATAGAATAAAAATATTTTGTGAAAATAGCAAAATATGTAATAAAAAATTGGGCATTGTGTGCGGACGGTGACAAAAGGTAATCGAATGTGCAGGACAGATTAATATATTAAATCATTATATCATCAAATCATTAATATATCGAAATAAAAAAATATATAATAAATACCCCGTAATGAGTTAGTGGAACATAGAACTTTTCTCAGAACAGTCATTAATACTGCTCACTTTCAATGTATATAATATTCATGTATCATTGCTTAAACACGGTAATGATACAATAATGGGAAATGAGGTCAGACTTGTGGTTGCTTGTCAGTCACCTCTGTCACTTATCATCATTGATGCTGAAAATGTAGTAGTGGTTTATTTGCTTAACAGATTATAATTACTGTATTATTGCTACAATACCGACAGCGTAAAAGCAACTCTTGACAGCTCAATGTGTTGTTGCCACACATTTTTATGCATATGGCACCTCATACATGGCAGATAAGTAAAATCTCAAATCTATAAAAATTACTGACAGGCTATCATGTTCTCAACTTTTACCAAAGCCGAACCTCATCGCCTCTTTGTCTTCATGTGAGTTAGATGAGTCGCAATGCTGAACCTTGTGAGAAAGTAATCAAATCCTCGCAAGCTGATTTGCTTCAGAGGAGGTCACATGACGTACCATAGCACGTGGTGGGAGAACTGTCAGAGTCGCTTATACACTGCAAGTACTGTAGAAGGGTCTGGCTGCAACTTGGTGGAAGTAATATTAAAAAATTCCACTTAATAAAGAGTGGACCAAACAAAAATTCAAATAACTTATTCAGATAACTTTTTTTTAACCTTTTGAAAACGGTTGATCCAAGCATTTAGTTTCCAGTCAATACTAGAAAATTGGCTTGTAGCGTGATCATGATCAACAGTGACAGAATACTCTTAAAGAATCCTCCACAGAGAACTAACTTGTGGTGAAGTGTGACATTGCATGCTATAGTATCTCTCTTTGCTGAAATAAGTGATAAATATCACAGTGGAAAATGCTAAAGGTATTACTATCCATCATTTGTGAACTTCCAGATTTCCCTTTACTGGATTCTGCCTTGCTGAAGTATGGCTATTTGACACCTAGGACCCTAGTGATAGGTCAGATATGCCATAAGTCAAAATGTTTTTAGAGGAATTCTTATGATTTAAGTTTGCCGATTCACTTAATAATGTTACAAGAATATTAGAAATAAAATCTATGGGGAAGTAAACTATGGATAAACAGGCGGTGCTACAACAGCACACATTTTCTTGCAATATAAAGTTATCATTATGTAATATTATATCAGAATGTCTACCTTTCTTACACTTCAAATATTACTTTGGCTCGAAGCATAAAAAATAGTTGTTGTTTTTTAATTCACAAGTTTAAATGAAAATATGTTTCTGGTATTGAATTTGGTGTGTTCGCAAATATATCCAATGCATATTTTAGCCTTAAAATATACTACGAGCCAGAATAAAAAGAAAGTTAATAAGTACTATCCAGTGGTGGCAGCGGCAGCTACTTTCGCTAGAGCACTTTGTTGTCAATACTGCTTTAAAAAGCAACAGTGGATGATTTGCTTGACTTATATATTTCACAGTGCAGTAACACTGATTGCACTGGCAAGCAAATGCAAATAGTTCGCAAAAGAATTTAATATTAATTATTTAATACTATAGTATTGTAAAATTCTACAAATATGCTTGCTTGAACACGAAATTCAGGTTACTCCTTGTCTGAATATATAATGCAAAATGCTCCACAGGTTTTCACCACCACGAAAATTCCCCCGAATTCTCATTACAAATTGATGAAAACAGTTGTTTCCATCTATATACAGAATTCAACATGTATATGGGATAGGGTAAGGACCCCAAAATTTAAGAAAACATTCAAAGAAAAAAATTTTCCATAGTTCATCACACACAGTTTTTAACTGTTTTTGACATTAAATAAATAAATAAATCAAAGCTCCTTAATGGGTCCATTTCAGTTTCCAAAAAAGAGAAGAATTCAAAAGAATTTCACACTGACAACTTTATCAAACAAAACACGGGAAATTCAAAAATGTAAAATTACGCTAAACTACTCATACTTCGAAACAATTGTATCCAACGCTTTTTAAAGAACCAGATTTCATGTAACAAAAAAACGTGTATCATCAATATTGTACTTCGGCAAGGTTAATTTTTTGTTTGCAAATTTCAAAAATGCAAAGAATGCGCCAAAAAATTGAACCAGCATCATTTTATTTACCATACTTTGCAATATACAAGTATAGTTATTTTTGTAACAAGTCTTCTAAATTAGTTTTTAAGAAAAAGACCGGATGGTTAACTGTGAGACAGAGCAATAGCGGATTCGAGTAGTTAACGTTTCAGATGGGTTATGTATGCAAATTCTGGATGTATGAAATGTATGTACGAAAACATTGGATAGCTGTTTGAGTGTTTCTGAAAATGTGAAATATTGTGCTGATTTTTATACAAAACTTTTTAGTTTACAAGAAACTTCATATCAAATGATTTCAAGCACTTGTGTCCCCAAATGCAGTTACATAACGCCTGTCATAAAGATATTAATGTCAAGAGAAATATTTAAAACAATTACTCCTGTGAAAGTTCTCAAAAATTAAAAGAATACATCAAAATAACATTAATGTCATGTTACTCAGTGCATTTAGAAGTATCCTTAGTCAAAGTTAAAATAATTCATTTAAGAGACATTTTTAAAAAATTTTGTATTTAATGTTGCCTATATTTCACCCAAAATTGCACAAAAACTATTCTTTTTTAAAGTACATGGCATTAATTGAAGAACTAATATTGATTAACAAATTTTATTTGGAGAAAAAATTTTA